GTTTTTGTGCTTCTGTACTTAACCAAGTACAGCAATACTTAACCATCACTGACTGAAAAGAGATGTACTTCCTTGCTGCACACTCAAATTCTATGCGAACTCGGTACGATGTTCCGATATTTGATCCAGATTTGAGACGTCATCAGGTTCATGCATTTTTATTTAATCATCCATGCATAAGTAATGCGTTCTAATGCTATAAAATAGAACCTTAATATTTTATTTTCTGTTAATTATCGAAAGTACATTTGCTGAACATTTGGAGCCATCAGACCTTGAGTTTTTTATTCTTGTTCGTCCGTTGTTTATACTGCGAAATCCTCATTGAAATTGGGCGAGACATCCCGTGTTGATCACTGACGTGATTTTTCAACTAACGCGGATCTTGAAGATGTTGGAACTCGAAATCTTGCCAGTATACTGATAATGCCCTATTTTTATCAACTGACCAGTGGGTGGGATAAGAATCTACGTCGTACTCCATTTTGGGTTTCTCTGTCATAATTGTGGATGTATTCCAATATCTCAAACACAGACCATTGAAAGGTGTGAAATGTAGCTGAGTGAAGGATTTAGCTGCGTCATATTACGGCCAAAATGAATCGGTTGACTAGTGGTCTCTGTTCGTTGCGTTTTTTACAAAAGTTCAAAAAGACACCGTCCCAGCAAGCTTAGCTGACTTCTGTTCCTAGTGCGGGTATGTCTTTGTTCGAATAAATTGTGCAAGCGAGTCAGGTCATAACCACAGAATAGCAGGTTAGTTCAGATCAGACTTTTGCAAGGTTACACAGAAACTGGCAAATCGAACCACCAGCGTGTTTTTCCCAGCACGAGAAATTAGCGGGACTTCGTTTTGATGATGCGACTAACAAAAGTTTATATCGTAAGCAACATTAGAACTCACACGTTCAACCACTTGTTGATGCCTGATTATGCCTTTGTGCAGAGATGGTATCACGTCTTCGGTGAATGAACCACCTACCATTTTTTTAAATGGTAAGACAGAAACTTACACTAAAGCTTCTCATATCCCACGTGCGTCTTAAAGCGAACATGTTCTTCAGTGTGAGAGGCATTCACGAGTAACTTGAATGGATGCGAAAATCGTTTCACAACTATATACCAGGCAGTTTTCAAACACCAGTCTTACCAGGATAGTAAGCGCTGTCTACCGGATCTTAATACGTCTGTTTGTGGTAATATAAAGTATAATATAATAATAATAATATAAGGTATCAATGACAACAGTTGCCAAATATAGCTCGCCAATGCGTATCGGTCACAATCCGTTGTGCGGCGAAAAATGTTTATAACAACTCGTTTTATTGCTATGATTGTTATTCTATCTTATTGTTTGTGGAAAACAATTTTTTCGTGACATTCCAAGCATTCCATGAGGTGGACAACTTGTGGTCTTGTCAAGTTCAGCCGAATTTGGCTGCGTGCACTATCGGGTAACGACAAACTGAACGACAAACATTTCAGTTGGGAGCTATCTGGAGCAGATTATCAAACGAAACGCCGTGTACCACGATAACTTTTCTGACCTTATTTGTTCAATCCTGAAAATGTTTCGATTTGGGGCGGAACAACATTCGTGACTGTCCAATAACCGTTGCTTACACTACTGACAGTCAGAATGGCAAACCTCGGAATGGAACACTACTGTGGTTTTGACTGATATTGGAATTATCCTTTAGTTTGGCATTTTTTGCCCCTCTAATGGGGAAAATTCCTAAGGATACTATTACTTCTAAGGAGATTTCTTCATGACATGAAATTTCCCACCACTCCACTCTTTCTCTGGGTTCGTTGGTGTACATGAATTTCTTCAAAATGCCTTGCGAACCCATACGAACGTGTATTTTTTGACGGCTTGTGATCTAAGAGTTGTGAAAGAGTCTAGAGATATGCTTTAAGTGTGGCCGGGGTTGGACGGAACAGAATACGGGGCTAGGGTGAGCCATTTCATTTATTAGTGCACCGATGGTGATAGACATAATACAACCCAGAAGGTACATGCACTAATAACAGTCTTTACTATGGTTGACAGTAGTTTACAGAAGCGATTTGCAGCATGTATAAAATAAAAGCGATATGCAATGTGGATCAAGGGAACTTATCGTATGTGAGAGTCCCTTGGTGAAGGTCCGGACGGCGGGAACGTGTTTTTCTCCGCAGTGCGACTGCTACACTTGTCCGTGGACCTGTGGAGAGCGGTTGACCTCCTGCTCCCTGTGCGCGCGCTATTCTGTGTGTGCTGACTGTGTCCGGTTTCCCCATATGTGTAGGTCCGTTTGCGTGTACGTCAGCAGCATGAGTACGTCAGCACACGAGTAGTTGCTACGCTCACTAGACGGTACAGAAAATCGATGTATGATGAATCAGCTTAGTATGACCTGGTTTTTGAGTATGAAAAAAGACAAGTCTCGTGATCCAGTGAGCGACTGTGAGCTGAACAATCAAGTGTGTGGGTGACCGGGGGGTTACACATTCACACAGCACAACGTGGATTTCTGGAGACGTAAATCCATACAGCAATCCATCAAATGTTCTGTTTTCAATATTATTTGTCAAATGGATGAAGAGTTACCTGTTCACTCAGTCACAGGACGTAGTTCTGCATGTTGCAATCCAGGTAGTGAGCGTAAAGAAAATACGCTCTTTCAAGCGCGTTGAACAAAAGGAACTTGTACCTGTTTCAACATTTTTGGAAGATATTTAGTTCAGAAAGTGCACTCAATGATCCAGATTAGGGCCTCATCACTTCAAGGCTTTAATATCAAAGGCAAATCTCAAAGACAAATGCGAAATTGGCTCTGCAGGAAATTGCCTTTCATGAGAACATTTTATTCAAAAGAGAGTAGTATCTTGCGGAAGGGGCTTGAACGACACAAGTGACTGTATTTTAAAGGCAAAATACGCCTGGAATGAAAAGTTTACGGACACTATCCATAAAACTGGAGAAAAGGACAAACGACTGGATATGCTCAGTCCCCTTCCCACATCCATGAGCATTTTCGCGAAAGAAGGTGAGCTCAGGTGGCTTGAACTCTCTAAGCAGGTTACATGTCTAGGTGACAATGAGAAATTTCGCATGAAATGTACTGGCCAGATTGTTGTTTTATAAAATGAAGGATAAGATGATCAATGTATGAGGTTTGTAGAAAGTGATGTCGTCAGTGTGAAGTTTTCTGTCTAACAGTAAACGTACGCTAAAGGAAGCATAATATAACTGATTATTTTTAGAGAAAAGATAAAAGTGTAGGAATGTTGATACAAGGATACAGATGAAAGAAGGCCTTCGCTGCAGAGTTATTGGAAAATGCCAACTGACCGGTTACAAACTACTGGACAGGGAAGCGAAACTCTCATATGCATTTTGTTTACAAAAACTGAACATCCATCTTTTCTTAAACTCGTCTTCCTAAACTTTCCTGGATATTCATTGACTGTCGCTCAAATCCAAGCAAATGCTACAAGGCTACTCCACAAATTCCGCAATAGATCTCCCTTTTCAACAGACGCAAAGCGAATTTACAGATGGAAAACATACCACTCGCATGCCTCCCCCGTCAGTAGTGTCATCGTTACACAATTAGTCTAGAAGTAGTAGTTCTCACTGATATATTCTGATTAATTATCCATGTACGGAAGATAGAAAAAGACAACTTTTGGGTTACATCACCTCGGTGTTTTATGTAACTACCACAAGGGATCTAGCAGAGGGTAGATTTTTCCAAGTTTCACTTGGCGTGCTTAGTAACAGTGAACGATAGCATGCGTTCGGGGGGGTCCTACAAAGCATACGTGGGAAACGGTGCACCATCCACCTTGGCTTGAATCTAAAGCTTATCTAGAGTGGTAGTTCTAGAAAAAGAAAGCCTTCGGTTCTTCTCCGGTTTTTTCTGCATGGCAAGAGCTGATAGGAATGGGCACATTTTTTGGAGAACAGTACACAGTTTAGCGAGTAGAAACTCACTTGCAAACTAATTTGTTTTTTTGGAGCAACTCACCTGGAACCCAGCTGAATCACTCGTTTATGATGTTCTTAGGCAACTTAATATGCTGCACCAGGCCACCTCATATTTCAGTCGCTACGATATTCGAGATATCGCGTACATGTAAATCTTTGTAATGTACTACTCATAAGGTTGCCGAAAATCCATTAACAGCCCACGACCGGTTTCGCCCTATTTGGGCTCATCAGGTAGGCGCGGTCCCCGGGTTTTCGTCAACCTCATGTTATACTTGAAACTGCATTGAACGAAACTAGCGAACATACGCTCATTTGCAAACTAATTTGCTTTTTCGAGAGACTCACCTGTAACCCAGCTGAATTCCTCGTTTGTGATGTTCTCAGGCAACTTATGAGTAGGACATTACAAAGTACACTGTTTACTTGCATAGGTGTACGATTAGGTGTATCGAAAATCCACTGCAGTATTATTCCTTCTCGGACGAATTCAAACATATATTGCTCATCAGAAATGCTGATTGGGACTCACTGGAGGCGTATCGTAACTGATAACAGACGTCTATCTCAGACCTTCATGTCTGAAGACCGCTGGACGGACCATCCACGCGGATAATTTCTTTTTATGCATCAAGGTAAAATTGAAGGTGTGTAGCCAAAATCCTTTCGGATCTATCCTATATTAATTTCTCTAAAATGATAACCCCCGTTGTTTATGAGAAGATTTCAGTGTCACGAAGGTTTTCATTAGTGTAGGAAAGGTGAGTCGAAGTGACGAGCCCAAAAACAGAGATTCATTTTTGGGGTTTTCGATGTCAGCAGGATCCGGCAGTTCAATTTCATAGACTTCCTAATTTAGTACTGACGGCGCTTAACACTCAAACATTAACATAAGAACGATGACAGACCACCAATACCGAGTTTTTTCCTCAAGCTTCTATTACTGCTTAAAGTTAGATGATGTCAGCATTATTTCATGATGAACAGATGGATTTGGTCTGTTCCTTCATTTTTTGTTCCCCAGGGCACAAGTGGATGCGTCCCGAAGCTAAGGAGGAATGTGACCTTCAGAGGTCAGTCAAACTTGCAAGCGCCTCACATCCTTGAATTATCCTTTAGAGTTGTTCTATCTCGGTGGAGACAGGCTGCGCACGAGAATCTTTGAAATATGTTGATGGGGACTGGTACTGTGGAAGTTCTTCGTGTATGAAGGGCTGAAATAAATCTTATGAGTTTGGTTTGTAATTTTTGTAATCGATACCAGTCTCAGCAAACGGCTTCTGTAAGCGGAAGAATCCATCTCGTTTTTCAAGTCATCTTCGGACTATCCCATTCGTAAGGCGAGTATTTTACGCAGAAACAAAAGCATGATATTTCTTCCATTGGGACTTCTGAGGGTCAAAGTCCGTTCAGTTGACAAGTACCAGTTCAGATTAGCAAATCAGATACTTTCAGCGATCGCAGCTTTTCCGCAATTAAAAAATATACTCTCCGGCAAAACTAGAAATTCAACCTTTTCTTCAACACCCACTTCAGGTCACATGAAGCAGAACACCGTTAAGAACAGTAAAAACGTTTTCCGAATGTCTTTGAATATAGGTAATGGAATTTAGTCAACTGGGCAAACCTGTTTTGAAGTTTATCTCGTTCTGACTCAAGAACGCATCTGAAGTAATCAGATTTTCTTTAAACCAATGTTGTTTTCCTTGGCTACCCCCTAGTCAGCTTATCAACCACGATTAATTGCTGACATCAGTCGCGCATGCATTCACAGCGGTGCACTGCCAATCATACACGTGTATTAAACTGCAAGTGTCTTAACTCTCCGGGATATCTTCTCATATTTGGCACGATAGCCATGAAATCGCTCCTCAGTTGTAATTAGGATACTCGTGTTTTGTGGATCCATACGATATCCGAACTATGGTAGCACAAGAACGCTTCATTAGCCTGTTGTGGCTTTTCTCCCACTAACCAAAGTACATTTCAAAGTTTCACAGTGCTTGGTCATGCCTTGTTGTGCTTTTCACTTTTCAATGTGGAGAATCATGAAAAGTGCTGAAAATGTTGATTAGGCTAGAAAAGTGCAACCTCAGACAGAAATGAGAATTGACCAGATTTCAGCAGGCAATGGAAGCTTCCAGGAGAAGTTATAATCAGGCATTTTTGCTCGAAGTAGTAGGCTCAATTAAGCCTATATATGCAACCTGTCCAACAGAAGCTTATCTCGCAGTGAGTGAATTTGTTGAAAGGAGGCCTGCCAGGAAACCGTTAACACTAGTGGGTTAATTCTGACCATAAAGTTCACACTCACGAAGCTTCTATTGGAGGGGTCAGGCGAACTATGATTGCGTATCTGTAATATTCTCATCAACCAACGATCCATCCGAAGCAGCTAGTCGCTGGATAAGTTTGGTGCGTTTGATTCATCAAACAGAGACAGGGCAATCCACATTATCCTGAATAGAACATCTAACTCAGTCCTTACTAGAAATCAAACCGAAAAAAGAGGGTCGGGTTCTCAACAAAACCAGACTGATAGCAACCAAAACCCAAACGTGGTCAAGTGAGGCGGTATTCAGTTGCTCCGATACCCAACAGACTCGGGGGATTCGGTGGGCTGCAGAAAATCGGCACGCCCATACATCCCGCCGTGAACCATATACTTGTGCATCTTTCAACTTATCAAGTTTGTTGAATCCCTTTTATCAGTGAATGGTAAGTTACGTCTGTGACTCCATTTAGTGAATATTCTCCAACCTACACATATCAACGATAATCAAGTAGCAGTAGGCTCTGACGTGAAAGCCCTGTGCACTAGTTTATAGCATTTTTACCCTTTATTTTGTGTAGCGATGCACAGCGACTGGTCTTATCTTTTGTCGATTTTCTAGGGGCGAGTTGGCTTAGTGGTTAGAGCGCCAACTCACCGACCGGAAGGTCCGTGGTGCAAACGTGACTTCTGCCTGTCGAATTCCCCTGTCTAGGCTTGGGCAATCTGGCAGTATCCCAGCCCTCGTACTTCCTTGTGGTGACATGGCAGCTAAGTACCGATAGGGTGCTACAGCCGAACGACCGTTGAACCATGTGTGACCGCCACTTAATTCATCTCTTAAAGTACTCTATAGTTAGACTGACACTGTCGCTATGGTCTCTCTGATATCACCCATGGTAGTTAATTTTTTCTTATACGGTGTTAAAACTAAGGTCTTAGGTGAATTCCCACATCCAACACCCAATTGGCTGAGAAGCGCTGATGACATCTTTTCAGTCACAGAGCAACAGGTTGCTTGAACTAACAAAGCGGTACCATAAAATGCACTATGGAAACTGGGTGAACACAAAACTGTAAGTTTCCTGCACTGAAGACTATACGTTCCATATTCTCAGTTTGAATTTTCAAAAAACGCACACATTCAGACAGGTATTTGCATTATGAGACACTATGTCAAGCGAGCAGTGGCCAGATCGTTGATGAACCATGTCGGGAGACTGCACTCCAATGAGTCCATACGAGGAGATGAACTGAAATGACTGAATGAAAGCAACTAGGGGAACAAAATAATGCTCCTGTAGGAATATCTACTCAACAGATGGAGGGAATACCACCAGGAACGGTGAGAGAGGGAGATGAAAACCCGGTGGTCACTTTTGGAATAGCCTATAGAAATGGTACTTCAGATGGGATCTTTTCCAGATAAGCGCCGCCACTAATGCAAAAGGTACACGTGTGGAAAGTTAAGCCCCGCCACTTTTTATCAACTCCAATTCAATGTACTCACGCAACCTTGACTTATTTTTGATGAAGACAATTCCTCACCCGCATCTGGGCTCATTTTGTGCAAAAATTTTCTCCGTTCGGACGTAAAACGTTAAATGAACTTCCTGACGCTTTCAACTTTCGTTCATGACAAGGAGACGAAGCCACGGAGTGATCCATCAGCAACGTTTATACAAGAATGGCCAACAAAATGACACTTAACTGTTTCTGACTGGTGGAGGTGTAATGCCTGGCAGTGTCGACAAGAAATCTGTCTTCGAAAGGGAACGTGGCTGGAGCGGTCTAGGAAGGAGTTTAGGACAGTAATTCTATTCATTCATTGCTGGCCCAAAAATTTGGCGAAAAATCAAATTCTGCTCAGAGGCTTTATATATTAGCCACACGACCGCTGTTGACTGTATGCAGTGCCAGATCGAACTGCGGCCACTTTGATGGACACAATCCAGGCCTGGCTCAATCATCTCCGATATGTGGGCATCGTACCAAGGAATCGAATCGATGATTGACATAAATTATGCACATGAGACGGTTAATCCTACAGAAAACTTTGTGAATCCAACGACTGGAGCTCACACACAAACCACTGAATCTCTTTGGCACGTCTACAAGGTGTCGGATAAACGCCAATGCGGCGCACACCAACCTTTGGTAGACAGCTAGTTGTGTGAGTTCGTTTGGAGGCTAAGGTACCAAAAAATGGACCTTTTCATGCAAATTATTAAGGACCTGTCCCAATTTCACTCTCTTCAATAAAAAACAAAAGTACAAATCTCATATCCCCTTTTTCCTAATCTTTTTTGGGTAGCGGGGTCAATTTCCTGGCGTGGCTTATCTGGAAAAGATCCTTCAAAAGCCATTAGAAGGAATATTTGGGAAGGGAAATTCTGCCGTAATGATAAGCCTTACAACATTTGGTAACGGGCAAGGACCTCAAAACACCGAAATAAAATATCCGAAATACCGCACAAACTGCGTCTACTGAATTTACTGCACAGGATGTCCAGCCAAACATAGGCTAGGTAACTCCATGTGCGAATCACGGAACACAAACTGCATGAGCGTCTTCCTTCAACTGACTTTAGAAAACTTGAAAGCGGGTCAGCCATTGCGCTCTGTGCATTTGAGTCCAATCAAACCAACTTCGATGGCACACGGATATTCCATTCAGGAAGCCAGTGACACGTGGAACGGACTGTTCTGAAACACTAGAAATCAACATAACCGAAATGCGTCAGCCTTAGCGATTGTGTCGACACACTTTAGTAGACAATTACCGGAGGTCAAGTGGGAATCTCAACAATGACATCACAGGCAGCACAACAAAAAGCGGGGACAGATCCGGTCCCCACACGCGTACATGTATACAACGCCAGCAAACCTCCATACATGCTGGTTGCATCTGACTGTCAGCTGATCTCAGTAACACACCAATCAGAAGAGAGTATAGTGGACTGCATTAAGGCGGCACTTAGCCCGTATTCGATTGATTGAAAAAAATCCTTGAAAAATTTTATCCCCGACTTCTGAAACATCAGATCATCACATATCATTCCAGCATTCCGTGTTTTGGACTTCACACCGTACCAAAAGAAGCTCCACCGTTTGCAACTGGATGCACTTTTCCATCCTGGAGGCTGTTTTATTCTTTGTGCAGGACTCACTATGGGATTCGTACTGTACAAGACTTTTGAAAAAACCAATCCTCGACTAAGGCAACGTTGGTTGGATCCGCATTGTATCAAAATATACACTTTTGACTAAATTTGCTGGTAATCTACTTAACCGTATGCATAGTACAGTTTCTGGGAGACTCAGTAACCAGTCGACAAAATTTCATTCTGGCCAAATGAATAAGTTCCTATGTGGACCGAGTTTAAAGCCACTCAGAAACTAATCGGCAAGATTTTTTACGACTAGCCGACTTGATTAGTGCCGAGTGTCAGTCTGAAATTTCTATTTGTTAGCTACTGAGGATGACTAACACTCAGGATATATTGCGTAGTGAATTTTTTCGAGTTGAATTCGGATTCTGGGACCTTGTTTTTCGGTCTGGGACGCCCTAATGCAATATCCCTTTTTAAGTGTCGTTCACGGATGTTGTAAAAATTCGTACAGCCACTACATTTTATGCAGTCCCTAATCCTGTCGACCGCAAAGTGATCCTTCAACCGCATCAGTACTGAGCATAAATTTTTTCCCTTCTGGAATGCTTCCAATGACTTCAGATGTGACTGTTTTTATAAGATGATTGCTGTTCTGACCTACTCCTTGTTGGGTCTTGGTGTTGGGACTAATACACCTCTTGTTTACCTCTTAATTAATATCATTGGGTAACCAATGTCTTGGGCTCAATTTTGTACCCAGAGTTGTATTACTGTTTGNTCTATGCACGACGCTTTACTTAACCACAACTACATATAACGCTTTTGGGTGTGCTGATGTGTAGTTTAAGACAGCACCAAGGTTTTCTAGTTTCCGGTAAACCTTGTGCGTCATGCAGTCAAGGAAGGGCAGTGTGCCCGACGCAAACTCTACATCCATACGAAACTTAATGTGAGGGTCCATGATGTTGAGGTTGAAGGAATACGTTGAAGTTTTATCGCTTTATAAAAACGAGCGTATCATCTGAGTGGTGTCAGAAAACCTTCGGTGGACATTCGAATCTAGGTAAAGCTTTGTGTTCAAGGATTTCCATATACATGTTGGCCAAAATCGAGGATATTAGGGATCCCGTCTCTCGGCCTTTCCTTGAAATCTTTAAATCGCTCGTCTACGGAGAGCTGCGTCGGCTCTTTCAGCCTCGTGTCTACCAAAAGGTAGTAGGTTACTCCTTTCAGTTTGTCCGCTGTAGGGATATTTGTATACGTCTAGCGGGCATCATAGCTAACTAGACCGTTGGCTAGTTCTAAAGGAAACCTAGCTAACTCTCTTTTTAGCATATTCATACGAATTTCGGATGTGTATGCTCGACGTGTGTCTAAAGGGCCGACTGGATGGGTAATCTGTGTGTTAAAATCACTTCATGTAGACGGCGGAATACAAGTCACGTTTCTCTGACTGTACTGAGAAGTAGCGAAATGTGGTAAAGTCCAAGTAAACTGGCAAGTCGATTCCCCTGGGTGGGAATTCACACGCAATCTCATGTACGAATTTGAAGCCACAGTTCTCCGCAAACTTTCATCGTATATATTTGCACGGGACATAATTGCACGGGAGGGTGCACCGCCTGCTTACTTGCATGTTATAAAGTCCATCACCATTGATTCAAGGAAAACAATATGATGATTTGCCCTAGTGACCTGAATGACGGTGCCACCGGTCTTTGAAAAAATGTGTTGCGGAACCTCTGGGACTGACGAACACTACCTACTTCAAAGCTAATGTGGAAATGAATGCAGATCCGCTCTGTAAGCGGAAAACCGACCTAGTTCAGGCAATTCACTGGCTTCAATAATTCCGAGTTTTCGAAACAAAAAACCTCATCCATCGTTTCTGACAGATTTTGAAAACAAAAATTGGACTTGTTGCTAGCGTTCTGTGAGAACGTGGGTTCCCGTCCATTCACATTAGTTGCCGTATGACACCCCAAAGACGGAGCCCTTGATCAATACCTTGGGAGAAAGTCAGTTTATCTGGACCTCCTTTTTAGCGATAACTTTTTAACGATCTATCAAACCAGGTGCTCCATGCCACTCCAGGCTGAACGCTTCCCACAGCGTGCCTGAATACTGGTTCTCGACAGCTTGATTCAAACGGACATTGAGGATACTGTCTGTCTACGCTCAAAGTAATTTGGAATATCTATTTTTTGCTGTTGGCCGCACAATGATGCATGGGAACACATTCTACCCTGACTTGTATCCGGTTGGTCCACATGGTCTTGCTATTATTCATACACCAAAAGAAGCTCCATACCACAATCCCGATCACCAACATCTGCAACGTTGAGATGGGCGCAGCCGTTTTGTGCTCGATAGCCATTAAGGTCAGCTATATGACACGGAGGGTTGGAAGATCGGGGTAGAATAGCTCTGAGGTTGATGTTTTCCTCTAGTGTTCTCTGTGACACTGAAAACATACTTTCAGAAGAAATAGCAGAATCACCATCATCATCGACAACATGACATCACCTGTTCAGCACCGATGCTTCGCTGCCGAACTAACATACTAATCTTCAGACAATGCGTAAGCGCTTTAGGATTCGCATATGAAGTTCTAAACAGCAGGCAAAGCACAGTTTTTCGTTCATAAAAATAAATCGATTAAACTCAAATACCTAAAATGACCTAATAAATTCTAAGTTATTGACTTCGCTGTCCTCTGTCTGGAGAGTTGTTACAATCGTTTCTGTGAAGCGTAACGCAGAAAAAGTAATCCGGTTTTGCGCCGCTGATGGATTTCAAAAGTTTACTGAAAGGCCTCCAACATTTGGCAACAGTTTCGGCCGTTGTTTTGGCTTGTCAGGAGAGCGCGGACTCCGAGTTTCTGTCAGCTTTGATTTGTAACTCCAAATGCGCACAAGTTAGGGTTCAAAAAGAACATAAGTTTGACGTAAACTCGAGGACTGCACCTAGCTGGCAAGCCTCAGGAAGGGCTAAACCGATTGTGGACTGTCCAGTAGTCTTTTCGGTCAAGACGATATACAATAACACCCCGAACAGCTTTAGTGAAACATGAGGCAGCTTTTGTATAACGCATTAAGTTGAAGAACGAGAGAAATGAGACTTTCAAGTGGGACGTTCCACTGAGTCTTCTGTCAACATCAAAATAGTTTATTTCACTTGTTGATTCGTTCAGTTCTTTTCAGAGTGGAAATCAGCCGATTCCTTGATCATACGTGGACGCTTTTGCAACTAACACATCCCTATGTTTGGTGTTACATGAAAGAAAAGTGAACAAAGACATCCTATTTTTATATTCCGTTATTTTTAAAGACGCTTTTTAGCAAAAGCGAAAAGTGTGAATCTTTTTCGAGACCGCCCGACGTACCGGACTTTAGTCGGTCAAAATACAGACTGATATGGTTAACAGACATGCACCTGTAGTCCGTACAGTACACACTCAGCAACTTTTACTGGATTTGTTCCGTACCAAACGTAGGTTTGGAATAACAGATTCCTTGCATTTTTTTTTCAAAATCTGAAAATCCCCCAAAAGGTTCATATATATTATTCCTTCCAGTTTTGTTATCAACAGGGCGAAACACCCGGGCTTTTTAGATAAGAATTACAGCGCTGGGCAGATGAGCGCGACGCGACTGTTGGATCCAATACCGTCTCCGTAAGATAAACAATATTCTGGAGCACTTAGCCGATATCTCACTTTAAAGCACTGATAAATTGATGTTTTGAGTCAAAAGATGCAGTCATACCTGATATGATCATCACGAAATACCATATTCCAACCACTACGTGGTCATGAAAGTAACTGCCAGAAATGTTTGCCAATATTTCACGGAAAATTGGTTGTAACTGAAGCACTTCTGTGATGCAAGCTTGTTTCATTCCGAAGACGGAGGCTACCTGTTGTTTGCTTATTTGGTCCAGATGTCTCTAAATCAGTTCATTTGGCTTTGTTTTCTGGTCGAAATTATATCATGGGCGTTGACATAACATTCGATGCACTGTTCAGTTATTGTGGCGTTAAGGTTAGTTTTACTCCGTGGGGACAAATTTGTGTTTGCTTCGCGAATGCGACCTCTCCCAAGTTAGGATTGATCCAAACTAGAAAATACTACTCCCTGTTGAATGTAGTTTTTTTCTAAGGCGAAGATTTCTTCGAATAAGTCAGTGTATTATTCACAGTATAAAGCCTAGAGATGGCTGAAATTGGTTCTTCCTCTAGGTCTAACTTAAATGGAGAGGTTTTATGTGTTGGCCTTTGAGGATTTTCCTCCGCAAATCGTTTATCACTCTAAACATAATAATTAAATCTTTGTAATGTACTACTCATAAGGTTGCGTTGCTGAATATCCATCCACAGCCCACGACCGGTTTCGCCCTTCTCGGGGCTCATCAGGTAGGCGGAGTCCCCGGGTTTTCCGTCAACCTTATGTTCTACTTGAAACCAAACCCGGGGACTGTTCCTACTTGATGGATCCCAAGAAGGGCGAAACAGGTCGTGGGCTGTCGATGGATTTTCAGCAACCTTATGAGTAGTACATTACAAATATACATGTATCGCGATATTTCAAATATCGTAGCGACTGAAACATGAGGCGGCCTGGTGCAGCACATTCAGTTGCCTGAGAACATCATAAACGAGAGATTCAGCTGGGTTCTAGGTGAGTCTCTCGAAAGAACCAAATTAGTTTGCAAATGAGTGTATATTCGATAATACCTAAATGTTTGAACTCGAGGTTACCCAGCAAATAACCTGAGGATATTGTGTAGCATGGTCATCCAACGGTAACCAAAAGACGTTTATGACCACAAAACAATCTGACTTGACCGTCCGTGTGTACACTTAGTTGATGCATAGTTTTCATCAACAGCTTTGTTGACATCGCCAACACATCGTTGCGCAATAAAGCGGTCCGGTGCGTCGTTAATGTACTAATGGGGTCACTCCAACTAGAAATGAAACGCCCGTAATCCAACTACCCAGTTGAGCAAACAAAGCAGCGATCATTAGGGCAGTCTAGATTCTCTATCTATACATTTACCAGGTAGGCTCATTACTCTGATTGTAGCAGTTGATACTATGGCGCTGTGGCCTTGTAAAACGAATAGTCTAGGTTACCCCGAAAGTGCTTAAATCGATGTCACTTGATAATTGCACATCGGAAGCAAACGCCTTCCCGGATGAACATCATTAGCAAATGCGTTCGGGAAACAAATTGCACTGAGTACACTGGATACATGAAATTATTCACTAATGAAGCGTCCCCCGAAAGCTCTTCCGCGTTCTTCGTGGGTCCATATTATACCCACGAAACCTTCGGTCAAAGAAAATCTGTAGTTTCTCTTTGGAGTGGTGGCAAGGAATCCTACCTGCCGAAAAAATAACGCCATCAAAGAGATTGAAAATGTAAACTTGTTTCAAATAGAGGGAACTCTGTTCATCCACACGAGAACTGCTTTGTTTTTGTTGTGACCGATTCTGATAAAGTTACAGAGATCTGCGGAAGTCTGAAAACTATGGCGCAAAAGTTGGAATACTTCTGTATAGGCCTGATACATTTAAAATCACGTTTTTTACGATTACTTACCAAAATACTGCATGCTATTTCGCATCACTTGAATAATAACACTACAGGGATTTGAGTTCAAAGAAGGCTTTCGAGGAATGCACGCATTCTACCTCCAGTGGTAGTTACCTGTCAAAAGTCTAATCGGAGTTCAGAAGCTGTTACGTGTAATGGCTTGACAACATTAGGCTAAAAAGTGGCTTAGTATGCCTCCACGGTAAAATATGTTCAACAAAAACATTGTCGATCTTCTCAGATATACTGTCGACGATCATCATCGATTTTGGAATTTTTGTGGGAAGCCTCTTGGCGTCTATGATTCGCATTTACGTATAAAAGACTTTGAAACTTTCAAACTATGTAGCAGAAAAAAGAACATGCGTTTGAAATCAACTAACATGAGGAACAACTCAACTTTGGACAAAATTTCAGTTCTCCAAGTTTATTTCTCACTACTACTGTGGCGTTTTTGTTTCCTGTCCTATTGGTTGTTGATCTGTTCGCCGAGCTTGGCAATTGGCTTGCAAACGTTTCGTCACCATACGAGGAGACATCATCAGTGCGCAGTTGGGTGCGCAACTGATGCGCACTGATGATGTCTCCTCGTATGGTGACGAAAAGTTCGCACTATGCCAGCGTCCGTAGCAGCATGAGTGATACTAACGACCTGAGCAGTGACAAAAGCTATTTGTTCACATGCGGGTTCAAGATCATGTCTACTAATTTACCCATCCGAAACAATGTTTGGCGGCAGCTCCTCTAATTGGGAATTCGCCCGGTGAATCGTCTGCTTTTTATGTTTTTGCGAGTGTCAGCTCCAGTTTACAATGTTAGAACTGGTAAGTAATTCCGAGTAAGAATTGCTCATTACAGTTCAGATTGCAAGACCACAAGTATATACTCACAGGGATCCATGCCCAAAGCCCTCCATACCTTCCACATATGTCACGCAACCTTGAGTTCTTTCCTCCACATTATTCAGATAATCGATACCACCATGAAGTATAAAATCCCAATCAAAAATTCGAAATGCATTCACAGTCTAAAACTGGCCTTTTAGCAAAAGATGGATTTTCATGCTCCAGGTGATCCTTCTTTGGAATCGTATCACCTGGGAAGCGGGTCGATTTCAGGTACCTTGAGAGAACTGGTGCGAAAACGACTCCGAGTTCAAATTTCTCTTGAAACCTGTGAAATATCGATTGCTATTGATTCCCAGTAGGGCAGACTAATTAACAGTGATTGTTGGATTTTTAATATAGAGTAATTTTTCATGTGAAATGAAATTCAGAATCCATAATCTATCGTGCTATAGACAACAAACAAGACCAGAGGTATAAGAATACAATAGTTGGGAGTAGCAAGCTAGACTTTGATAACCAAGTAAATCGAACATTGTTCCGAACACGCAGCATACTGTTCAGTATTCACCCACAGAAAAGTTGTTAGCATTTATTTTGACACAATTCGAAGCATGTTTAATCATGTTTCACCATATTTGACTACGTGAGTCCGGCCTTGATATGACTCTCGAATGATCTGAACCGGTAGTACATCCGGTACATACACTACGCACCCGACGCTCTCACTGCCTGTTTGTTAGTTGCAACTTACTGATAACGCTTCAGTACTGTCTTCACCTTTTGTCTCCTGTCTCATTCCCTCTGATTTAAACGAGCTGAAGTGCGCTTCTGCTAATCTACATACTGATATGTCCAAAATCGTATGGGGAATCGGCTACCCACTGAAGTAATGTGGTGGGCAGATATCGAAACTGGCATCCGCCTCCTGATTCTTCACACCTCTGGTTAAAACTAATGTTTTCATCCGACGAATGTACGATTAACGATTCAAGCTCACCAAGCTGAGGGCGTTACCGGTTCACCATTGCCTAACCTCAACTTTACTAAGGCTAGTTCCTGGGACATGCGGAGTGCTCTCCTAACAAGGTTAGTGATGTTTACGCGATTCGGTAGATTGATCTAAAAAAAGTGGCATGCGAACGAAAAAAATCGAGGACGTTTGAACGTTGGGGCTAAACTCGGTGATTCGCTCATCTACCCTGTCATTTGATTCAACCGTGATAAACTGCTTCTGAAACCCCTTAGTAGTGTTGCTGATTTACTGCTTGTTCAGGTACAGAAGTTCCTCACTGAGCCATTCTGCCAAACTTTTGTGTTTGGCGCGCGGTCATATTCAAATGAACCATACACCGAGGTCACATAGTATAAATATACTTGGTATCCTAAAGACTTAGCAACATTTGAGTGCGATATATCAGACACAAACAAGAAATGTCAACGACCGACACGCTGGTCTACCTGGTGTTTTTACATTTCACTTCGACTCCTGAGGAAGCGCATAGGTTTGGAAGGGATCAGCCAGTCACACAGTACTTTGTGGTACTCGGATTCAGTGTTGATGCCCACTATACAAAGGATGAACAAGGCACTTAAGGGGGTTTGTGAAGTGAGCCCACTTGTTTTAAAATGTCTATACCGGTTGTGTACAATAAGTTTTCATCAAAAACCATCCTGTACATACCAGTGAGTTGATAGCTTTAAAACTTACATCAAATAATGTTACAACCTGAGCTCGGCGTTTACGAATATCGGAGAGGACGGAATGTGCACGAATGGACCTTATCAATTAACACTCCTATTATGTCAGTCCCCTTGAATACAGTGAGCGCAATAGAAAAATCAGCCATCTGATGAGAACATGGGATAAGGTAGCATTTTTCACATCCATTTATCTACCACTAAAAGCCAAAAACGTCCTGCAGTCCCTTTCATTTCCTGTGAATGATATGAGTACCGAAAGGGGACTTATGTTCAGCGGCTCACTCTGCCAGTCTTTTTGCTTCAAAAGTCCGATCACTGTGCTCGCATAATCAGGCGTTACACTGTCCCCAACGACTTTATCCTCTCCGTTGACAAGAAGAAACATCTGGTAACCCTTACAAGCTCTGACATCCTGAATGGCTTTCCAAATGTTATTCATTCGTGGAGGCATATAACTCTGAGTGGTATTTGAATGGGAGCATTTCCGCGCTCTGGGTGACTCAAACCTTTCGTTACCAAATGGGGTCACACTCCTTACCCACAGTCGATTTTATCCGTGTCACTTACGATCAATACTTCTCCACCTGATAAGTCAAGCACCCAGATCGCTGACGGAGAAAAAACCGGGTTTTTTGTTTCAATCACAAACTTGCTGAACTTTGTTCATGCAAGCGACAATTGCTGACCATGGCTAAGCCAATGTTGTGTGCACCGGTTGCAACCAAATTAACGAAGAAAACCATACAATCTATTCAAATGCACAAGACTGTTACGTGAACTGAGCAATGTTCGCCTGATGCTCCAGTCAGCTGAGTCATCACCAACACTATACTCAAAGACAGCGAACGAGAACATATGTGATGAACTTAAAAGGTAAAGCACATCACATTATCT